ATCGAAGCTGTAGATCATCCCTTCTGATTTTTTTTATTGTGAAATATTTCAAGCCCACAGCAAATAACCATGTATCTACTACCCAAATGTTTCAAATATTAATATTTTGTCATACTTTAAAAAAATTTCTAAACTTTAAAGATACCGTTGAAATCCCATGTACCTCTCCCCAATCTTGTTTTCTTCTCTATCTCCATGAAGTAACCACAATTAAAATTTATAATTCCCATTCATGTTTTTATGATGTTACTATATTTGTATGTATCTATAACTATTAGATTTCCTGTCAAACACTGACATATAATCATCATTTTTTCAAACCAGAGGGAAAGAAATGGGACTTTTTAAAGTTCACTATTCATAGATATAGTCTCATTACTGTTCCATTTTGTTTTTCTTCATCAGATTCTGGGTGCTTGAGTCTCGCTGTAGTCGCATTTACCTCCATTTCTTGTACTACTTAGCTTACATACTTGTTGTTTCTAGCCAATGTCGTATACGAGAGGTTGGGGCAAGTTCTACAGTGTCATACGGCATGAATTAAGGAATTGGCTTTATTGGAAAAAGCTCAGAAGGCCAGGGTCTACAGGATGCAGTCTGTACCACATCACCCTGTGGAGGGGTGCGCCAGACCAGGGTGTCTGCTAGACGCATGTGGGTTCTGTTCCAGTGCAGACACTTTCCTTGTCCCAGGGGTATAACTTCTTAAAGAACAAGGGCTTGAAAATGGCCTTGTTGAGAGTCGGGGGTAAAACAGTACACTTGGCTCTGGGTAGTTTGCATTTGGGGCACTAGCTGTTTATGAGGTTGTCTAGAGAAGGTTGCTGTGTGTTGCTTTGTGTGTCTGGACCCTTGAGGACCTTTGGGGCCTGTGGGAGTTATAGTCCTGCCTGCTGGGGAGAAGAAACTCCTGGAGCCTTAGGAAGCTGAGCTTTTCTATTGGAGAAAAGGAGGGCCCCAAGATCCCAGTTGGCTTATAGTGCAGGCAATCATTGAAGGAATCAAAGATCATTCTGAGATGGCCATGTTCATTGCATAGGGCCACTGGTGGATATATTAACTGCTTTTTATGCAGTTATAATTTTTAGTTACATGGTGAAGTTAATTTATGTGCCATATTTTTCTGGGTTGTAGAAAAGGAAATGGAAGTACAGTGGTTTGCTCAGGATCGTATAGTTATTTAATAAGTAGCAAAGTTGGTACTGTAGCTCACTGCCTGCTCACTCTGCCACCTGTTTTTTCATATAGAGTATGCCTGGGATGGTTGTCCTAATGTTTTCTTCCGAGGCTTTCAGGAAGTACTAAGATGATACAAAGTGATTCTCATTTTCATTTCTTATTCTGTGATTGTCTTTCAGGAAATTACAGACATAGTTTTTAAAATTGAGATGTATTTTCAAGCAACTTTACTTGGAATCATTGTTACTGCAATGCCACCTTACTTTGCCATGGAAAATGCAGAGAATCATAAGGTAATGACTGTTAAAAAATTACAGTTGTAGTTTGCTAATAAGAAATCTCACTAAAAATAACCTGTTTTGCATGAGTGCAAGACTTACATATAATTATTCCAGGAGTAAGCAAATTGAGTATAACTACATTTATTATAATTTCTTGTAGTAGTAGTAGTAATTATCATTTAATACTCAGATCCTTGCCATATCCTATAAAGTTACAGCGTTTAATCCTTACAACACTATGAAGTAAGTTTTACGTTACCCACTTTATAGGTCAGGAA